TAATTATTCTTAATATGAATATTACCTATTATAACCTGAATCATGGATAATGGAAAACATATTCATTTAAATCCACACTGCAATAACCATGATGACACACTTTGAATATGACGTGAGCTGTTTTTTTGAAAGAATTAATTTACTGTCAGCACCTCCTTCATCACATTCATTGTTAACTTCAAACATACAGTATGAGGATAATAAAAAACAAAATGGCTGTTGTAATATCGCAGCATTTATTTATTCATTAATTTGCTCACTGACTGTACTGATTGTATCTGCTTCAAACAGAAATACAGTGACAGCAGTGAGAACCATGTAAATAATATGAGAACTGTCTGCAGGTTTGCATTAAAGACATTTAACAGTTTCCATGTTTGCAGATGTTTGAAGACGACTTAGAGCCTCGAGAGGAAAACGGCTGCTCAGGAACTGAAACCTGTGAGACAAAATGCAAAAAACAAAATCTTTTGGTAGTTCATAACTTACTTTTTGTAATTGACACATTTTAACTGTATCTGTGTGTTGTAGCAGGAATAAAATAAACAGTCAAATATCATGCAGTGTGATTTATATGTTTTTGTTTCTTGTGTTATTGGTTTGTTAAATTATTGTGTTTATTTCTAATTAAAATGTGTAAAGGAACAGGTTTGTTGCTGGCCATGGAGATGTAGCTGCCTTTTATCCCTAAATAACTACAGTATATTGCTTGTTTTATTGCATCAACCTGTCAACATTACTCATGAAATAGAACTTTAAATCCAGTCATACATAAGTGGTAATCAGATGTTTGTGTCAGGGGGTCTCAAGCTCAAAGAGGCCTCAACATTCAAGTTCAGTCAGGACCACTTTTGTCAAAATATCTTATATTCCAAGCAGAATTTACATTTGGCGGTATGGCTCTGTTCTGGGACCTCCTTGTCCTTCCGCGTGCCTACGTGGAAAACCTTAAGGCAGGGAGAGCACACCTCCCTGCCCTTCCATGTGCATACATGGAAAAGTTTAAGACAAGGAGAGCGGCAGCAGAGACCCCCCGGGTACAGAACAGAGCAAGCATCAATGGCAATCAGAAAATGACATTGATTAATTAGAAACAACATAAAAAGGAGCAGAGATAGGCAGGCAGGCTAAAGCAGCTTAAATAAGGCGCCATGTAGATGTTTGCCAATTGGATGCTTGAGGAAATCAGGTGAGCTGTCAGCTGACTGTGTATGGTATCCAATGGGAAGTTTAGAGGAATCAGCTGATGTATGTTTATGACTAGCTGTGATCATATGATATAGCTGTAACTGACAGCTAAGCCTGACTTCGTGCCCTGCCTGAACTAACGCTATGCTCAATAACTTATATATTTCCATTACTAACATAACAAAATGTAAACAGCAGTTTCTGTACATTTTTATAATCATATTTGTTGTTTCCAGAACAACAAATAAAGCCCTGGAACCTGCTCTCTTGTTCTCAGTTATATTATTGTATTATTGATATCATGTGCAGGGAGGGGGTGGAGGGCTGGGTAGCCCAGCGGTTTGAGATCTTTGGTCTGTGTCTTCTATTGTTTGATTTCCCTTTGAGGTCATCAATCATGTGACACAGTGCAGGGTCTTTCAGCCCAGTGAGGATGAGACAAGACAGAGTTGTTGTTCACTGATCACAATATCCAGTGTACATGAGCGCTCATGTATCAACAGCAGATCTGAGTGTTAGGGCAATGAGATTGTGTTATACATCACGTCCAATACATGTTGACATGTTAAATGTCAAATGCAGTTTAGTTTGGTAGCAAACTACACTTTGGTCTCAATCACTACTTGTAAGTGTGAGCCGTGCTAAGGTGGATAAATTAAAACACAAGTGCCGACAACGCCACCTAGGTTTTTAGCTGAGGCCTAGGACCTGTTAGGATCACCAAATTAAAGTTAGGGTAAACAGGTTGTTTTATGTCGGGGGAGAGCAGTAAACAGTGTTCTTTTTAAAACAATGAGTACAGCCAGTAGGAGTTGAACACAATTTATTTTAAGATAAGTAAAAACAACTAAAAGCTCTACCTTCAAAGAAACTAAAACAAAGAACAGAAACAACTAAAACCCAGCTAAAATAATGCAGGACGGATGGAGTGGGAGGTCAACAACGGCAGTCGCGGGTCTCTGGTGGCGACCACCTGCTCTTCACCTGGCTCCGCTCTTCGGCAGCCTGTCGAGGGAAACTCAGGGCCAGTCAATGTCCTTTAACAAGGCACAACTTTATATATTACACACTACACAAACACCGGTCTAAAACGGGACTTACGCGGGAGGGAGAAGTTTTACCTTCTCCCAATTATAGCCGCTAGCGGTCGGTGTTTGCTCCGGTGTCTCTTCAGACCTCGTCCAGGCCGATGATCCGCTCTGTCTCTCTGTCTGCTTCCTGCTGTCCGGCCCGTTGTGCCCTCCGTGTCCTCCCTCGTGCCCCGGGTGTCTTCGATAGTGTCCTTTTTATCCAAGAACAGTCACTTCCCTCTCTGGGTCCCAGGTGTAAGTCCTTACTCTTGATTAAGGCATGTCTCCGGTGGGGAAGTAAAACCAACGAAACAAACACACACACCACACTTCAAAATAAAAGCATGCAATAATAAAGACAAAAACACAGCAAATTCAAAGTAAAAGCATGCTTAAATAAAATCAAACTTCCCCCCGTGACATCAGCATACTGTTATATAAGAACAGGAAGGGCTGCTATGCTTCAAGCTGCTAATTTATTTGCTAATTTCTCTCCACTGACTTTACATGAACATTACTTGTGACACTATATATGTGTTCATATCCATATATGAGAAAACCCAGAAGTGAAGAAGATCACACTGCTGTTTGTTGTTTGTGGAGGTTTTTGTGCAGCTGCTCCACTGTCTTCAGTCACTGTGGTTTCTCGAGCACAGAAGTAAACAGCAGAATCTTCTGCTGTCAGGCTGTTGACCTCGAGGTACTGAGTGCTGCTGGACACATCTTCAGTCATAATGAAACAACTTTGAAAGGAGCTGGAATAGGTAACAGAGCTTGAACCTGAATTAATTGTTCCAATCCACTCCAGAGCTTTCCCTGGCCTCTGTCGAATCCAGGAAAAATAGCCGCTTGTCATGCTATAACCGGATATGATACATAGGGGTGGGCGATATGGGCAAAAAATAATATCTCAATATTTTTTGGGATTTTGGCGATAACGATAATCAGCCGATATCCTTTAAAATGTGATTAGAATTGTCTGAGCTGGACTTGTGTCCACCAAACGCGTTTACAGCGCTGAGAGCGCTCAAAAACTCATTTTCCAAGCGCCCAGCGGTGTTAAAAGTTGAACAGATTTCAACTTGAAGCACTCTGAGCGCTGCGCTAAAAAAACGTCTCCGCTGACATCTTTTTACCGCTGAAGGCGCTTAGCGCTCTGAACGCTGAAGCCCACGTCTCGGCACTAAATCATCTGAAGTACCGGTAGCTTCAGGGACTGGAGGTGCTTGCATTTTCTCTCTACCATCGCAACGCGCTGCTAAACTGTTGCAAGGAGGATGCTAGCGAGAGGCCCACTAGTTGTGTGACTGAATCCTGCCATGCTGTAGAGAGCGCTGCTGCACCGTGTATTAATGGATGTGAGGAGTTTCCCGCGGGCGTTTCATTGTTTTTGTCGAAGTAATTTAAAAACTCGATAATGGAAATTTGCACATCGTCAAAACAACAATGACGATATTATCGCAAACGATATATATCGCCCACCTCTAATGATACATGACATCTTCACTGTCTCTCCAGGTCTTTTCACCTCAGAGGGAGTCCAGTTTGATCTCACTCCAAACTCCTGTAACCAAAGAATTTATGTGTCATACATACAATATTAAACATTACATTTTGTTATATCAGAATTGATTTTCTTACCATGAATAGCCATTACAAATATTTTCCATTCTATAGTAAATTGTGGAGTTCACTGATTTTCTGATCAAAGTCTTTCTAAGATTTATAAGACTGTGTCAGTTGTCCTGCCTAAAATGATTTCACAGTTGCTGTTGGTGTGTTTATAAAGAATGAAGAGTTTGCATAGACCTCCCTCTACAGGATTAAAAAGGGAAGATAGAAGATGAGTGCACTTTAACTGAATATTTGAACAACAGGAAAAACATACAAGGCATTGTACTGTGAACATACTATTAGGAAATTAAACCTCTGTAAATAAGATGGTCTGTAATAATGCTCCTCAATGCTTTGTGTTGTCCAGTCATATTTTCACTATATTTAAATATATTTCTTGCCCAGTTTTAACTTTATTCAGCATGGTCTGACAGTGCAATGAAATCAACATGAAACAGACTTCCTTTAAAGGATGATGATTTACAGTTTTGTCATTCTCTCAAACATCAACAGAAACTCTTCCTTCCTTCCTGGATATCAAATACACATCATTTTATTATTTTAAATGTGTTTCACCACATAGATTTAGTCTGTTTGCTGAAACTGAAGAATTAATGTTCACTATAGGACACACTCTCGACTGTGACTCAAAGTAGAATAATTATTTATTGTATTGTGTGATGATTGTCAGAAAGACACTATATTTCCAATATGACAATAAACTAAACTAACAAACCTGTATATAAATACTTAACATCTAAACAAACAAACTGTACTGAACATACTCAAAGCAATGAAAGTATCAATTCATTTTGATGTTGAAGCTTTTAATTTCTTATTTATTAACCTTTCTTTATATAGGTTTTACAGTGAATTTGAACAACTTTCTTAAAAAGAGAAGATTTAAATTATACTTCTCTATATTTGAAAATGAAATTAACATTTAATCAAATGACATAAAATATAACTGAAATATTTAAATAGAGGAAGTAGTTTTTGTACGACTCTCTTGTTATTGTCTCTCACTGTGTCTCTCTGGCACAGTAATACACAGCAGAGTCTTCAGGCTGCACATTCTGTCCGTTTAGAGTCACTGTGTTACTGGAAGAGTCTAAGTTGACACTGAACTTGTTCTTCAGTGAATCTTTGATGCGTGTATCAGAACTAATCCACTCCAGTCCTTTCCCTGCAGGCTGTCTGATCCAAGCTGTGTAGTAGCTGCTAACAGAATAAGAGACCTGACAGGTGATGGTCAGACGTTGACCTGGCTGCACAGTCACAGAGGCTGGCTGTGTCAACTGTTCACACTTTACACCTGTGGAGGAAAACATGTTGCATATTGAATCAGTGTGATAACAGTGAACAGTCAGTGTGCTGTGATCATACTGTCAGTGTCTCTGCCTCAGTGAGACTCACAGGATCCAGCAGCCAGCAGCAGCAGCAGAGCTACAGAGAACATGGTTGGTATTGAAGGTGATCTGATGGGAGCTTCTCTTCTTCTGCTGCAACTGACAGCATGATATCAAGTCTTTATAGCAGACTGTGAGGAAGTTCACTTTGCATAGAGAAGGACACTGACAGGCTATAAAAGAAGGATCAACTGTCACAGGCAAGCTTGGATTTGTCATAAACACTGTTGGGCAAATAACACAATAATGTATTACTCATTACCCTGTACTGTTTTCAAAAGTAATATTATAACTTTACTTATTACACCCTGCCAACACTAATTGGTTACACTGTGTTGTATTACTTTTTTTCTGCAGCCCACAAAATTTGTAATAAAGTCTGTTTTTGTCCTCACGAAAATAAATTAATTCATTCAATCTTTTAACCAACTTATTATTTTATTATTTGTTATTCAGAGACTTGCAATGGTTTTTACCTGGGGTTGTTATATTGCCTGTGACTGGTTATGTGCATTTATTTATTTATGTTTATATTTATTTTGACAAATATGAAAAAAAAGGATTCATTATTATTTATTCAAGCAACCAGACTGCTGTGCTGTCTGGCTGTTTTGTGAGGAAGTGAATGTTACAGTAATGTGTTTAAATGATTATAAAACAGAAATATTTCTCATAGTCAGTCCAGTGAGGATGAGTTACTGTAAGTTTTTGTACAGCGTTGCTCCTTCCTGTGTCACTGTGGCTCTTGAGCACACTAATAAACAGCAGAATCTTCAGTCTTCAGACTGTTCATCTGCAGATACACCTGCTGTCTGCTGTTGTCTCTGGAGATGGTAAACCGGCCTTGAACTGACTGAGAGTAGTAGATGTTGCAACTCCCACTGCTGATATAAACGATCCACTCCAGTCCTTTTCCAGGATCCTGTCTGACCCAGTGCATCCAATAGCTGCTAAATGTGAATCCAGAGCCTGTACAGGTCAATCTGTGAGATTATCCAGGCCTTTTAACCACTGGTTCAGATTCTGTCAGAGTCTGACCATCAACATCTGTCAAGATAAAACAAATATACAGTGGTCAGTTGCTTTAAGCTGGAAGCATTTTGAAAACAACTTCAACTAAAGATCAGTGAAGATGTTCACCTGCCCAGCAGATAGTTAACAGCAGCAGTCCTGTCCTATAGTCCATCATGTTAAACTGTGTGTCCACTGTTCTCTGTCATCCTCTCTGCAGTCAGATAAGTAGAGGTGGAAGACATCTGAGTTTTGCATTGACTCCTCCTCACAGGGAGGAGAGAGCGAGACTGGACTGGTGATATTTTGATCTTCACTTGTGTAACTCAGAGGAGATTTAACAAAAAATCAATACTTTCTGCTTTTGACTTTATTTTGTACGGTGGCCGTGAAACGTGCAAAAAAATGCAATGTGTTTACCTTGTCCGTTTTGGGCTACTGTAGAAACATGGCGGACCCAAAGCAAGGTGACCCACAGTGTGTGTAGATCAAAATATCTCATTCTAAGGCAACAAACACATAACGATTCCTTTATAAAGGTGATTATACACTAATGAAAACATACATTATATTCCATTCCTGCCAAATCTACAAATGGTATTATTTTCCTTGTTTACTCACTTGCAATGTAACATACAAATTAATTAATGTAGCTAATATTTTTAAATATTAATTAATATTATTGTTATTTGTGTTAAATTGATTGAATGAAAATAGTGTGAAGTTGAATTCAGTTATCAATTCTTCTATTAGAATGTGTTACTGGTTGGTCACATATGTTTATGGGTATTTGTGCAGGTCTGTTGGTGGTTTGTATCACTGTGGAGCCACGTACACAGTAATACACAGCTGTGTCCTCAGGCTGCACATTCTGTCCTGTTAGAGTCACCGAGCTAGTAGAAATGTGTGTTTTGTAAAGGAACTTGTTCTTCAGAGCATTGTTTTGATAAAAGTCTCCTCCACCCCACCGATGCCAAATCCATTGCACTGGTTTTCCTTCACACTGTCTGATCCAACCTGTTGCATAGCTGTTATCAGTCAAAGAATAACCAGAGACCTGACAGGTGATGGTGAAGGACTGTCCAGGCTGCACAACCATTGAGTCTGACTGGATGAGATCAATACTGTTCACACCTGTGGAAACAGAAATCAACATTATCTCCATCATTCATCTGACTATTCAGTGTTTCTAATGTGTTTATTAGTGTGAATCCACTGAAAGCTCCTCACAGGATCCAGCTGCCAGCAGCAGTATCAGAGCTACAGAGAACATGTTGATGTTGAAGCTGAACTGATGTGAGCTCTTCTGTCCTCTCACTGACACACACACACACACACACTTCACTTCCTTATTAGTAACCTTTATTTGCATATTGAATAATCTTTTATTTAAATCAGTTGAAGATGTAAACACTGTGTCGTCTAGAGAGACCAGGCAAGGTGGAGAGAATGTTTTATGTAAAAACAATATTTTTAAGAAAGAAAGATTTACTAAAAGATAACATTTGCATCTGTGCTGTTGCATTAAACTACTAATAAACTCACATTTATCTGCTCATTAAAAAATACAAATACAATAGTTACCTCATATTCCAAATAGAAATATTTTGTGTGAGTGTACCTTTGTTTTTCAACCAGTTGATCAGTGTTTTTAGTTTTTTTCTATTCCTTTTAATTTTCTATTTTTTAATTCACCAACTGATTAAATGGACTTTAATGTACGATAAAACTGGCATTCAAATCTTTTAAATTAGTTTTAAAAAATCTTTTGTTAAAACAATGTCAACAACAGTATGTTGTATCTTTCAAGATATTTAAGAAAAAAATGTAAACTTGTCAAGGAACTTGAAAAACCCTGAAAAAAACAGATTGAAATAAACAATGACAAATATGATATAATTAATGACATTAATGAAATATTTAAAGAATTAATTGGGAGATTGATCAATGACTCTGAATTTTAATATTTTAAAAACTTGTACAAAGTGGTTTTATTTTCTATCAGTGACTGTCTGTAGTGGTTTCTGTATGGCTCTGTGGCTCCCTGTGTCACTGTGGCTCTCGAGCACAATAATAAACAGCAGAATCTTCAGTTGTCAGGCTGTTCATCTGCAGATACACCTGGTCCACGTTGTTGTCTCTGGAGATGGTGAAGCGATTCTGGCCTGACGTGGAATAAGCTTTAGTGCTTCCACTCGGAGCAGAAATGTAAGCAACCCACTCCAGTCCTTTTCCTTCAGCTTGTCTGATCCAGCCGATATGAGCATCATTATCTGATATTCCTGCATATGTACAGGTCAGTTTGTGGGATTCTCCCGGCCTCTTCACCACTGGTTCAGACTCAGTCAGAGTCTGACTGCAAACACCTGGAGAGAACAGCAGTTTGATCAGAACACAGCCAAACAGAAACCTTGACACAGAAAAAGAAGAGGGCAGAATTGTGTATTCACCAGAAATCAGTGATACCATCAGAAACAGTATACATGCTGTTAAAGTCATAGTGAAAATGTGTTGTGTGTCTGGATGATGGTTTGCTGTGTCTCCAGTTTGCAGTGAGCTAAATAATAAAGATGGAAGAGATCCAAATTTGCATTGACTCCTCCTCATGGTGTTGAAAAAATAAAAAGGATAACAGTGATATTTATTGACTGAAGGGATCTGATCTACTTCCTGAGGGAATACTTTTTGTTGGTTGTATAAAGATATTCATTAGAGGAGTGTTTGCCCAATGTTTGCTTCTTATGTGTTTTTAAATGAGGTTTCAAGGCTGGTTGGACAAGACACAGACCATAAATGGAAATGACTGGATCCAACATTTGGTGCCAGATTCTGAGCATACAGTATGTAACATACAGACAGTATAAGCAACACATGATTTGGATCGTATCCATCTTACAAACCACTTGTATTCTTCATGGTCTCAGCTTTTCTTAGCGCACACTGAGCAAGGCTGAAACATGTTTAGAGACACACACATTCACACATATAACACAGTTGGAATAGCCATTTTACCTAAATTGCATGTGTTCTGACCGGGTAGGGAAGCCATCAGATTTGGATGAAAACTTTATAACATAACATCATTATACATGTATGTTCCATAATATCATTAACATTAATATTACTGTGCTCAGCATTAAGAACACAGTCGGTCCTTGACTGCCCTCTACGGTTCTAAAGGAGGGACTGCAACTATTTTACATGTGAACATAATGTAACTTGTGAATCCTTAAAATACAGAAAGATGGTTGTGTTTGAAGCTCTGCCATACTCTGTAAACCTGTCCCTGGCTTTCTGCTAGTACATGCTGGGATATACTCAACAGGTAAAATAAGCTGTAGAAAAAGGATTTATGGATGATTATTATTGATGATTGTATATTATGGTTTAGCACAGATATCACATGTGATTTTCAACATGAACAGGTGTAAGTGTACGTTCATATGTATGGTTTTTAGTACAAACCAGTGTCTATATTCCTTGAACTTCAGCATGTGTATCCATTTTCTGTATCATTCTGTATATATACAAATAAATTGAAACTAATTTCAACTTAATGGAAGTTAAACCCACAATCCTATGAGATATAGCAGTTTTTCAGTCCAGTGGGGATGAATAAAGATACGTACTGCTGCTCAACCAACTCCAGTCACTATAAACCAAGTAACTACCTGTCTAACACAAATAACCATGGAATCACTTTTCAGGCCCTCCAACTCCCTCAGTTCTCCCCATTGTTACAAAGCCACAGCGATGTTGACTCTGGTTTGACCTCTTGCTTAATGCAACCTCTATTTGATCGTAGCCTTTTTTTTAAAACTTCTGTTTCTCTTCCCTTGCTTTGTGTAGCAGTTCAAGCTGTTGTAGGTATAGGTGGAACTAAAAACTTTGGCTGCACTTTTTCTGCCATTCTTGTGCAACTGGCTCTGTAGCTTTAACAATATATCTGCCCAACCTTGTGAAAACTCTGTTCATGGGCAAACACTGTACAGGCAGAGAGGTAGGAAGGTAGGTAGGACAGCTAATTATTTCATTTTGGCGGAATTAACTTAAACTAACCCATAACCCTAACCCTATGACTGTGTGGGATTATTACAGGCCAGGGATACCCACACATACCTGATTTTGTTTTTTGTTTTTTCAGAGCATTTGATATACTGATTGCTGTTGAGAAATTCAACAAATATTACAAAAAACTGACTAACCCAACACCCTAACCCCATGACTGACCCTGAGCAGCTGAAAGAGACAGATAGGATTTTGTACAGCTGCTCAATCAACTCCAGTCACTGTGGCTCTCGAGCACAATAATAAACAGCAGAATCTTCAGTCTTCAGACTGTTCATCTGCAGATACACCTGCTGTCTGCTGTTGTCTCTGGAGATGGTAAACCGGCCTTGAACTGACTGGGAGTAGTAGATGTAGCTACTGTCATATCTGATATTGGCAACCCACTCTAGTCCTTTTCCAGGAGCCTGTCTGATCCAGGCCATCCAAGAGCCAGCAAAGTTAAATCCAGAGGCTGTACAGGTCAATCTGTGAGATTCTCCAGGCCTTTTAACCACTGGTTCAGATTCTGTCAGAGTCTGACCATCAACACCTGTCAAGAGGAATCAGGACGATGATGATGATGATGATGATGATGATGATGATGAGCTGGCAGTTGGTCATATATATGCATGGCAAGTCATAAGACATATGAAGAAATGTGGACACAGTTTCATCACTACTACAGAACATGTAATCGGCACCACTGTATAAAACAGAAAGTAGTCCTTCTGCATCATCTGTAAACATTTCTTCCAAGGAAAAAGACACAAAAATAAAAAATAAAAAACAATCTTGAAAAGAAAAAGAGGCTTTAAATTCTAACTGTCCATGTTTGCAAATTAATTTAACATTTATTTAAATGAGATAAAATAAGACTTTTAAAAGAAAAACAGTCTCATAGGAAATCAAGTAATACTGAAGAAACAGTGTTACCAGTGTTGCTGGTAAATCGAGGAAGTAGTTTTTGTATGACTCTCCTGTTATTGTCTCTCACTGTGTCTCTTCTGGCACAGTAATACACAGCAGAGTCTTCAGGCTGCACATTCTGTCCGTTTAGAGTCACTGTGTTACTGGAAGAGTCTAAGTCGATACTGAACTTGTTCTTCAGTGAATCTTTGTAATATGAAGCTCCAGTATATTTCATTCCAATCCACTCCAGTCCTTTCCCTGCAGGCTGTCTGATCCAAGCTGTGTAGTAGCTGCTAACAGAATAAGAGACCTGACAGGTGATGGTCAGACGTTGACCTGGCTGCACAGTCACAGAGGCTGGCTGTGTCAACTGTTCACACTTCACACCTGTTAAAAAAGAAAATGTTTTGTAACAAATGATCAAGTTATACTGCAAAAGAAGAACTGTTGACTTTGACTAATCCAGAGAGACTCACATCCAGCTGCCAACAGCAGCAGCAGCAGAGCTACAGAGAACATGGTTTATGTTGAAACTGACGTGCTGTGAACTCCACTGACAGCCTGATGGGAAGTTTTTATAGCTGAGTAACAAGGAAGGTCACTGAGTTTGCATAGAATCAAACATATGAAGCATCACTGTTGGTCTAACTGGAGCCAATAGAAGAGTCTGTTGAATGTTATTATATCTGCAGAGTGAAAACATGCCTGGAAATCACCTCTGCTTTACAAATGATATTTTAACTTCATTACACACTCAACTGTAACATTTTTAAAATGAAACTTTTAGATTTTGCATTTAGAGTTACAGAAATGAAACAACTGTAAACTCTGCTATTATCATAAACTATTACTGTCTAAATCTTTACTATTAAAACATTTTGTAAATTTTTTCTATAATTACAAACAATAACCAGGATAATTATTCTTAATATGAATATTAACATGAATCATAGATAATGGAAAACATATTTATTCAAATCCACATTGCAATAACCATGATGACACACTTTGAATATGACGTGAGCTGTTTTCCTGAAACAATGTATTTACTGTCAAGCACCTCCTTCATCACATTTATTGTTAACTTCAAAAGTACAGTATGAGGATAATAAAAACACAAAATGGCTGTTGTAATATCACAGCATTAATTTATTCATTAATTTGCTCACTGACTGTACTTACTGACTGTATCTGCTTCAAACAGAAATACAGTGATGACCATGTAAATAATATGAGAACTGTCTGCAGGTTTGCATTAAAGACATTTAACAGTTTCCATGTTTGCAGATGTTTGAAGACGACTTAGAGCCTCGAGAGGAAAACAGCTGCTCAGGAACTGAAACCTGTGAGACAAAATGCAGAAAAATATAAACCTTTGGTAGGTTGTGCATTTATAAGTTACTGTTTGTATTCATTATTACATTTTACTTTCATGTGCAGTTGGGTCAGAAATATGTAGCAATCCACCATTTTCTTTTTACAAATTCAGCTGTTTTATTGCAGTAAATTGTCAATATTCTCTCCACAACTTTTAGATATTTTTCTGCAGTTATAGTTAGTGAACATGAAAATGATTATTTAATTCCTATATCCTTTCTGGAGATATATCTTTTTAATATAAAGTATTTATTTACATACACAATATATGTATTAAAGTAAATGCATTTTGTTTCCTCCACTTTCTTACCATCTCTCAGAAATGGTTTTAATGAATCTACAGAATGTGATGGAAACAGTGAGATTTTCTTGTTTTGTGCTTTAGTTCAGTCCAGAGTTCAAGTGTCAGTCAGTTAAGATCAATGAGAACAGCAGATCTGAGTTTCTCCTTTTAGTAACAGAGGAGAGAGAAAGTTGACACTGACTGCCCTCTAGTGTCTTTATAACTGGAACTGTGACATTATTTTTCACTCTCATACTGTGAGCTACTTTAGATACCAAATGATATAAACATTAATGTGGCTGAAATGTGTAGCTGCATGTCTTTCTTTTATTCAGACCTGGACAGTGATTTCAGCAGACTGTTTGGCTGTCATTGGCTGATTTGTGAAGAAGTGATCATTAAAGGAAGACATGTTATTTATTTAGGCTTAATTGTTATTGTTGTTAGATGATCTTCCTAATAGATTGTTTATTCATGTATTTTCTCATTTACTGATTTAATGCAGCCATGGTGATGTTAATTGTATGAAGACTTTAGTCTGATGCTGGTTTGCATAAAATACTTTTAATGGTTTCAATGTGTGCAGATAGAGCACTAAGATGAGTACTGTAGGATTTTGTACAGCTGCTCAACCAACTCCAGTCACTGTGGCTCTCGAGCACAATAATAAACAGCAGAATCTTCAGTCTTCAGACTGTTCATCTGTAGATACACCTGCTGTCTGCTGTTGTCTCTGGAGATGGTAAACCGGCCTTGAACTGACTGAGAGTAGTAGATGCTACCACTGCCACTGCTGATATAAGCAATCCACTCCAGTCCTTTTCCAGGAGCCTGTCTGACCCAGTTCATCTCGTAGTTGCTGAATGTGAATCCAGAGGCTGTACAGGTCAATCTGTGAGATTCTCCAGGCTTTTTAACCACTGGTTCAGATTCTGTCAGAGTCTGACCATCAACACCTGTTAAACCCAGAAAGATGCATGTTATGTGTTACATTGCTAATAAAAATGAAAATATGTCAAATCAACATCAGTGAAGTTGTTCACCTGCCCAGCAGATAGTTAACAGCAGCAGTCCTGTCCTATAGTCCATCATGTTAAACTGTGTGTCCACTGTTCTCTGTCATCATCTCTGCAGTCAGATAAGTAGAGGTGGAAGACATCTGAGTTTTGCATTGACTCCTCCTCACAGGGAGGAGAAAGCTAGACTGGATATATGAAACTGGGGAATTAATGTCCAAGAGTCAACCCTCCAAGTCAGCTGTTTTGATGTTTGGCTAGCATGTTTAATTTATGTAAATTATGTGATGTGAATTGACACATATAGTTAATTTTGGTTTTGGCAAATGCTATTGCATAATCCTTTGTATGATTCAAGAAATAATGCAAGACATCATATCCTTGTGTTGAGGGAAAATGTCTTGTCCCTTAGCCCCCTTTATAGTGTGGAAAAGTATCCCAGTATTAAAAAAAAGCACAAATTAAAACAGACATAAAACAATGATATAAAGTCATTAGGAACACATTGCTTCCGAAAGTCATGGCTGTAATCAACAGAATGATTAAATCAATTTAAAAACTCAACAACTTCTTTCTCAGAGAGTAACTGGCCACAAATACTCGACTGAATAACTGATTTATTTAAATGTACTTTAACAATGAGTGTGTGTAGTTGAGTCACATGGTTGCTGGGTATTTGTGCAGGTCTGTTGGTGGTTTGTATCACTGTGGGCAGACGTACACAGTAATACACAGCTGTGTCCTCAGGCTGCACATTCTGTCCTTTTAATGTCATCGAGCTATTAGAAGTGTGAGTGTGGTAAAGGAACTTGTTCTTCAGAGCATTGTTTTGATAAAAGTCTCCTCCTGGTGTGAATCCTCTGAAAGCTCCTCACAGGATCCAGCTGCCAGCAGCAGTATCAGAGCTACAGAGAACATGTTGATGTTGAAGCTGAACTGATGTGAGCTCTTCTGTCCTCTCACTGACACACACACACACACTTCACTTCCTTATAAGTAAGCTTTATTTGCATATTGAATAATATTTTGAGCTATATTTAAATCAGATGAAGGTATTAAGACATGAGACATGACAGCTGATACGATGATATGATGTGATGTATGATACAGAGCTTTTTAAGGCAGCCGCCATTGTAGTTAAAATGATGTTGTAATTACAGGAAGGTTTTCTTCTTATTGATGAAGGTGTTGCTGTGAGTCGTGATAAACTGTCCCAACACACTGACAAATACATTTTTATTGATGGAATGTGTTTTATTGATAATTGGCCATCATTTGGTGGGGAATTAGTTTGTTTTCAAAGGGCTGACATGTTTCAATGCTTCTCACACAGGGATCAGTGTTGTTCAGTGTTTGTGCAGCGTTGCAGTCTGGTGTGTCACTGTGGCTCTCGTGCACAATAATAAACTGCAGAGTCTTCTTGTTTCAGACTCCTCACCTCTAAGGACACAAGGTTTTTGGAGGTGTCTTTGGTGATGGAAAACTGGCCTTGGAGACTTTGGGCAAATATTGTGCCAGTTCCGCCATCAATGCGTCCGATCCATTCCAGTCCTTTCCCTGGTTTCTGACGAATCCAGTGCAGCCAAGCCAGAGTGAGTCCTTCCACTTTACAGGACAAAGTGACTGGTTCTCCAGCTCTGCTGACCACTGGCTCTGAGGAGGTGAGGGACTGACCCTGAGCAGCTGAAAGAGACACAGAGTTTAGATGACGGGGAGCCAGCAGACATCCAAAGCTCATTTTCTCCTCCTCCGCTGGACACCGACTTCACTCACCTGAAATGAGAGCCAAGAGGAAGAGACTTTGTACAGCTGTCATGGTGGGAACTTGGCTGAGTCTGCAACTGCAAAGGTTATTATGAAGGATATATATTGTGCAGGCAGAATGGGTGGGGATTGTGTATCAGTGTGTGAATTTGCATTTTAACAGTCAGACATTTTGGAGTTACAGTGTTGATACATAAAGACTAAATCTGTGAGAGAAGGAGGAGTGCTGGAATCAGAGAGAGAAACAGAAACACCAAAAATAAAGATGTTCAGTCTTTCTCCTTTTCTCAGTGTCTTCACCTCAGCGTGAACTGTCTCCTAAAAACTTATTTTGATATTTTGGCTTTCTCCTGACTGAGCGTGTTTTTTTAATATTAAGTATTAAGTATATTTCCTTCTATTATTTAACCTAATGTTATCATTATCCTTGTTTTACTGTAAGTCTTTTTGTAACATTTGAATAAATGTATGAATGCCTCTGTCCAATGCAATATACAAATAATCAAATATTGCTACTGATTATAAATCTTCATTAATATTAAAACTTTTTCAAAGGTCCAGTGTTTAACATTTAGAAGGATCTATTGGCAGAAATGGAACATAATATCCATAGGTGTGTTTTTATTTATGTATAATCACCTGAAAATAAGAATTGTTGTGTTTTTCTTACCTGAGATGCCACTTAATCCCACACATTGGTCGTTTATGATGTCATTTGTGTCATGATATAAGAATATCATTTCACGCATGAATGAATAAACAGTCGCTCTTTCAGTCTTCCAGCTGTTTATCAAAGGGTGTGAGTATAAAACTCCTAGTTCAGTCCAGCTTTTGAGTGTCAGTCAGTTGAGATCAGTGAGATAAGCAGATATGAGAGTCTCCTTATAGTGACAGAGGAGAGAGAAACTTGACACTGACTGCCATCTAGTGTTTTTATAACGGGAACTGCAACATTAGTTTTCACTCTCATAATTGTGACTTAACCAAATAATATAAACTTTAACCTTAAATCCCACTGATCCAAGAGGTAAAATTGTTGTCATATCTCAAAGGGGCTTTATTCTATCATTCCAATTTTTCATGATTTTATTAATCAATTTTTATTTATTGACTTCATATTATTCATTGTATATATTTATGTTATTTTATGTTATTTTTAACTTAATTTGTGCCATGGGTTCTGATTTAAAGTATCACTTTAGTAATACCCAATATGCCAGTTAACTGTAGCTTTCCCAAAATAATAATTATCTGTTTCTTTTCAGATGACATTAACTGCATAACTAATGTTTCCAAAAGAAAGTTAAAATTTTTCTGGCTGTCTCTTGCAGTAGTCTATTCTTGGCTCCAAAGAGACCCCAGTCAGTACTCCTGATATGTTCGGATGAGGGTTAATATGCCTGAAATGTGTACATGTAATATTTATTTGGTACATTTTTTGATTGAATGATTTCAACTGATTGTTGTGCTGCACTTGGATGGTTTGTGAGGAACTGATCATTAAAACATTTTATTTTTTTAATGATTTATGTTGGTGGTTAATAATAATCTTTCAGTTTTCAAAACAACAACAACAAAAGAAAAAAGCCCAATAAAGATAAGTACTGGAGGTTTTTGTACAGCGTTGCTCCTTCCTGTGTCACTGTGAGTCTCGAGCACAATAATAAACAGCAGAATCTTCAGTCTTCAGACTGTTCATCTGCAGATACAGCTGCTGTCTGCTGTTGTCTCTGGAGATGGTAAACCGGCCTTGAACTGACTGAGAGTAGTATTTGCTGCTACCACTACCACTGCTGATATAAGCAATCCACTCTAGTCCTTTTCCAGGAGCCTGTCTGATCCAGGCCATCCAGTAGCCAGCAAAGTTAAATCCAGAGGCTGTACAGGTCAATCTGTGAGATTCTCCAGGCCTTTTAACCACTGTTTCAGATTCTGTCAGAGTCTGACCATCAACACCTGTCAAACAAAGAAAGCTGTTCATGTCATGTGTTACATTGGCAGCACAAAATGAAAATATGTCAACTAAAGATCAGTGAAGATGTCTACCTGCCCAGCAGATAGTTAACAGCAGCAGTCCTGTCCTATAGTCCATCATGTTAAACTGTGTGTCCACTGTTCTCTGTCATCCTCTCTGCAGTCAGATAAGTAGAGGTGGAAGACATCTGAGTTTTGCATTGACTCCT